AGCACACGTGCCATAAGTAGCATGATCGTCCATAAATGCATCCTTAAGGGGATTAATTGCACTTGAAGATGATCCATGCAACAGTTATGGCAGCGTATGGTAAGGTAGAAATATGTGAGCCAAGCCAAAGTTTAATACCATAAAAGAGAGGGCAGTCTGAAATGTAGCAGTTTTAACGATCCCAAGTTAATCCCCAATCCCTTCAGACAATGTACTCTCTGTGTATAAGTGAAGGGAGGCTAGGACTTCTATAGTTAAGTAGGTTATTTCTGTTTATAACTTCCCTATTTTAAGTTCACTTTTCATTCCCCTAACCTAGTGTCAATTTTGGCTAGAATGCATTACCTCACTTGGGGGCAATAATATTAAACCAACTCTACTCTGCTTTAACCACTTTATACACCTTGAGCGCACACGAAGATTGACTATATCCGCTTTGCATTCGGCAAAAGTTCAATGAAATTGTGCTGATGTTATTACTTAATTACTTTAGAAATTTGTTAGACAAGGCTATTTATCCGGTGGTGCTGGTTATGTTGTATCTCGTGCAGCGCTCAAGATGATCGCTGAGGGTATGGAAAAGGAGGTTTCCAGCTGTCGTAAACGAGGTGGTGCTGAGGATGTAAATCTTGGTAAGTTCCCTTTATAAAATATGCCTATAACATGTTGTATGGCGCACAGTTGTGGTAAATTGTACTGCATCAGCAAGACGTCTTTCAACAATACCATCGGAATACGTCCTCGTGTTCACATTTGTTTGTCAAGGTTGATTGCAATCCTTCTTCAGTTCCTAATTGGAATTTACATTGATATTGAGGTAAAAAATTATAATACAGAATTTGAGTGTTAATTTAACCGGCCATTTGACGAAGCATTATAGTCCCCTAATTTCTAACCATGCGAAATTATCCAGAGATTTATAAAGAGGTGGTTAGGTTTTGAATGGGAGAAAGAGCAGTGGAATTGAGAGTCGAAATGGTTCCACCATCTTCAGGTTTGATTCATCTTGTCTCATCGCTTTTTTCATCAACAAAATTTGGAGAAACTAATTTTATGTAATTTTGAGGTCATCCAATTTTCACAATTTTTTTCTTAA